AACTGACAAAAACTGTGATGCAGATTCATATATATATATAAACCTCAACAATTCCATCTTTTTTTTTTTTGCATTACACAATTATTTGCACAGAATTGAGCTTTTTCTTGCTAATTTGGAAGCAAGCACTCTATTGTCTTGATATTTCAGAGAGATCGTGAAATTCTACGTTTCTGTCAGTTACGAGTTTTATAAGTGTTTGAATCTGCATCACAGTTTTTGTCAGTTTGGGGCAAAGATAAACACTTCAACTTCAAATCTGACTTCAAGAGCTACATCAGGTGAGATGATGGATGTTTGAATGAATTGACGTTTCAGGTCTGCAGATGTAGATCTCAGCGATACAATAAAGTTTGTTCATTAGGGTTTTAATTTGATGTTTGTTGAAGGTGTCTAAATTGCTCATAATCTTAGTTTCCACAGAAAAAATCAGAACCGTTGCTTTGTAAGTTTTGTCTTTTATGGGAGATTTTTTGCATTACATGTGATTAAACTCTGACTGAAAGTTACAAACTAAGATTTATCGGCATTTCTGCTGGTTGGTGCTTCCAGCATGTGAGGAAGAGTGAAGATGATGGACGCAGGAGTTTAAAAAGCTTAACAGCTAGCAGCATGCCTGAAAGGACGAGCTAAACATCTAGCTCCTGCAGAATGTTGTGGACCAGATGCAGAGAGAGCCCTCGTAGGACACACACCTGTAATTTATTATTATGGTGGAATTGACCCAATTTCTGTTTGTCCTGACCTGCATGTGACGAGGTGAGAGAAGCCGCCTGTAAATTTGGTTACACTTTTGTAGCCTGTGTGTGTGTGTTCATGTGTGTGTGTGGTTGAGCCAAACAGAGCTGAATAAGGGCTGCTGCAGTCACCAAGCATGACGACAATGAAGCCTCAGCACATAAAGCTGTGTTACCCTCTGACCCTCTGGTCTAAATACGCGGCATGATGTCATAGGACTCAAAGGATGTGTTTGTGTGTGGTGTGTGTAAGTGTGTGCATGTGTATGTGTGTGTGTGTGTGGGGGGGGGGGGGGGGGAGATGATGACGACAGGCTGCTCACTGCAGCCTCTTGTGAAGGAAACATGGCTGCTTGTTAGTGCACATGGCCCTGGGCTGCTTGCTTCCACATGTCGGTGTGTTTGTGTATGTGTTTATCCGAGCTGTCATGCCCACTTCATTATGCACAATGTTTTTTTTTTATTTATTTTTTTATTGCTGCAATAATATAAGTATTAGTTATGCAGTCGTATACTTCGGGGACGTTACGACTGGTGCGCACATGCTTCTTGCTCCAATACCACCCCTCCCACCTCCATGTGCACTCGTGCACCCTCACCCGTCAGGCACACCGCTGCCTGTGTCCACATGCAGAATAAAGAGGTGATGCAAAGAACAGTGGAGTAAAGTGATGCAGAAAAATGAGGAAAATCTCAGTTGGAATTGATTTCCTCTCAGTTTGTCTCTGCTCAGAGGACGAACGGGGATCGTCTGTTCTTCGATGCATTATTGCAAAGTGCAGAGTGCAATTTGTAATGATGAGTGGGAGGTGTGGAAAAGGATAACATACTGTGGCTGATGTCTCAAGTCTGGCTGTGAGGAATGTATTAGAGCCACGCTATAACAGTTGGAGAGGCTCCTGACCCCTCCGTTCTAAATGTGTCAGTGTTTAATTGGGTTGGTCCCTCTCCACATTGCTTGTGTATTTATGTCCTCGGGTCAATACAATATCACAGTTTTTGGTTTGCTCTCATCGCCTCAGTTGTGTGGCCTTTTAGTCAGCAGTGTGTAGTGAGTTTCCCTTATTTTTTGTGCACATGTTCTCTTGCTTGTGCTCTACGATGCAGACCAAAGCATCATTTCTGGAACAACCCTGATCTAAGAGCAGATCTTCCTCCTTTCACCAATCAAACATGTCATTTTCACCTAATAAAATGTGCGTGTTTGTGTGTTTTCGTCCTCTGTAGGCTTCCTGACTCAATGGGACTAGTGTGACCCAGAACTGTCAGATCCATGTGTCTCCTTCAAAGATGCGAACGCGAGCTTGCACACACGAACAAACAAACGGAGAACGATTCCACATTCAGGGGGTTTGAGTAACGTTTCTGTTACAAAAGACACATCAGCTCATATTATAATTATTGCGTTAACGCTCACAATAATGTTGGCCTCGGCAGCTTGAGAGAAATGCAACTCTGCTGCCATTTAATTTCACAATCAGTGTCACACACACACATATAAACAGAGGCAGGTTTGCCATAGACAACTGAAGTTTTACACACACACACACACACACACATCAGCATCAGCTCAGATGTTGGTGTTGCACACACTCAAACACTTGCTCCCAATTCTATGTGAAGAAAACTGTTCTGACACTGTCAAAGGAAATGTGTTGTAAAGCAGCTGTGTGTGTGTGTGTGTGTGTGTGTGTGTGTGTGTGTGTGTGTGTGTGCGTGCACATGTGTTTGTGTGTGTGTGGACTGCAAACAGGACAGATTTTGGGTGAGCAGTGTGTGTCCAAACAAAGCAGGTCACTGCTCTTTAGCCATCACAACCTATACAGAAGATGCTTTTTAATTGTTTGTTGGCTTTTAAAATGGCTTTAAAAATTAAAGGCCTAGCATTCCCTGAAGGAATGCGTATCGCCCGACGCCTTTCACGCCAACGTTTAAAACTAAAATGATCTTAGCTGTTTTGGTCAAACCTTGAAAATAATGTTTTGCTCGATCTCATGCTCAGAGTTTATGTTGTAGGTTCAAAACTTTAATCAGTTTCAGAGATCTGTTGTTTATTTCCTGAACGTTTCATTAAAGTCTGTCCTGTGGTTCATGAGATATTTTGCTAACAGACAGACAAAGTTGACGTTCTGATAGCAGAATTTTCACCAAAGATGTACGGACATGGCGTTAGTGGAAGTGAGGACAGAAGACACAGAGGGCCGAGTGAGATGGTGAAGGATGACTGTGGGACGACCCCTGAAAAGGGAACAGCTGAAAAAAAAAGAACTGGACATTTGTTCGGATGGACACATGATTATCCCTCGAGTTTGAGATGACACATCAGTAACTCGTAAAAAACGGTGCATCAAAAAAGTGCGTGGTTTAAAAAGTGGTACAAGAGTTTGATAGTGTGTGTATGTGTGTGTGGTGCAATATTTGGACACCTGTTCCAGTCAGACACAACACTGACTATTTTTGTCAGGACACACACACACACACACACATGTTTTTAAAACAAATGCTGCTGTTTCAGTTTTTCTGCCCTGTCTTTTTACTTCAAATGTTTGCTGCATATCATTGCACGGACACACGTTCAAACATCTTCTTCTTCTTCTTTCGACTTTTCCATCCTCGCGTTGCCACAGCAAGTCATCCTCCTCCATCTCACTCTGTCCTCTGCATCCTCTGTCCTCACTCCATCTATCTCCATGTCCTCTCTAACTGCATCCATATGTCTCCTCTTTGTCTTTTTCCTGGCAGCTGCATTTCTAACATCCTTCTACCAATATACTCTCTGTCCCTCCTGTGGACATGTCCAAACCATCTCAGTCTGGCCTCTCTAACTTTATCTCCCAGTTTTTTTCACTCAACCTTTATTTATACAGGTTAGTCTCATTGAGTCACAAGAACTCATTTTCAAGAGAGACCTGTTTTAGACAACAACAACAAAAAAAACAGATGAGGTACACAGCAATAAACAGTCATAAAAAGCATATAAAATGAAAAGTAAATAAATGTAGTGATATAAAACAAAATAGAAACAAGCTACATTATGAAACAGGGTAAAATACTAGAATCAGGAATGCGTCAGGAATGATCTGACCTACATTACTTATGTAGATTGTAAAGAGAGTGGGTCCTAAGACTGAGCCTTGTGGTACGCCATTGTTGACAGTTAAATAACTGGAAGAAGAACCATTGTGTTGAACACATTGAACACAGCTGTTCAACCTGTGCGGTACCTCTGATGATCTCAAGTTCAAACACATGAGCACATATTACTTTGTGTCCACTGCAAAGAGCATCTCTGACTTCGAGTGAAAAGTTTCCACGCCCGTCCGGCTCCACATACAGGCTCATTGTTTTAAAAGTTAATGAATCTCAGTCTGTTTTTCTGCGTTCCTAAGTATTATATTCCTCATTTTTTATCCAGTTCATTTGTCTCTAAGTGTGAATAATGTTTTGTCTCTGCATGTTTGTCTGTTGTGTTAGCAAAATATCTCATGAACCACTGAGTGGGTTTTAATAAATCTCTCACAAAGTAAGCATTGGATGTTGGTTGAATTTAGGATGGCCACCCCAGCCATAAGGTTATCATAAATAACATCAATCAGTGATGTTTAAAGTTATTTGGCTACAATTTGGTGTGGTAGTAGCTGAGCTTAATCCATAACACATAATCTAAGATCTAACACATTTTGCAAAAGCTTGCATTATTGGTTGAGATCACGCATAACCTAATATGCAAGGTTTGACTGAAACAGCTACTGTATCACGGTCTTTTGTCATAATAACAAGCACATGGTTTTTAACAATGACA